ACTAAAAATATGAATAGCAAAAGATAATGATAGAAATCACCAAAAGAAAAATTTGGTCCTAATATCTATAGGAGGCCCGCCCTTGGTAGTGATCAAGACATGCGAAGCATTTGAATAACACGCATTTTATCAGCACACAAAAAGATTTGATGAAAAAATATAATTTTATTTTATTACTTAATGCTCACAATAATTTCTGCATGGCTTATGGGCTCTGTATGGATAGCCTCAAAGGACCAAAAATAAAAAATTCCTCAAAATCCCTAAGATCCAGTCGGACACTACAAATTCTAATTCCGGCACCACTTGAGCAAATGGAAAAAACACGAGGTGGTCCCGATTGCTATAGTAACTAGTGATACTGGGACTATAGAAATTATCAACCACCATATATTACAGGACTGTTACAATTAGTAACTTCTTGTATTGATTCAGAAGCGTAGCAATCATTGGCTTCCTATATAGATCTCAGGACTCTAGCTATCAGCCATATTAAGCAAAAGACCATAATAAATATTATTAGGAAACTGTATGAAGTAATATACAGATAGAAAACCTTAAGAACTAAAATCAAGGCTACTCAAGTAGCGATTGAATTGATAACCTCGCAATAGTTAACCAAATATAAAGCGAGAAGTTATAATATTGGAGAACGTAACCCATTATTAATGGGATCAATATCATAGGTATGCTTAATTAGAACTAAAAGAAAATTAGAAAGTACAATGTAAATTACACTTGCTCCTTTTAAAGCTGACTTTTCATGCTTCTGATGAATCTGAACTTTTAAATTTTCATCACAAGATGCATGATTGAGAAACTGGAGAGATAATGGGCGCGGCATCTATTGAAGATTTGGTGATGTAAAATAGATTGTTAGTATGTGGGCATGTACAATAATGAATATAAGATGTAGAAGTAAAACTGATGTGCACAATTAATGTGGAAGATTAGGAAGGAAAATGTGTAAATAATGAAGATGATGCCCCATGCAACACTTACTAGGAATGAATGAAAGATGGTAATTTCAAAAGCTATCCCTAAATAGTTAGGATAAGCTGCTGATGATGAAATTGTAGCTTTATGCTACCATTTTGCTAATTGTCATGGTCCTGTATCTGTTCATCAATAGCTGGTAAATTAAAAGGTGTTTGAATGACTCATTGTGCTTGTCGAAAATAGTTTTGCTAAATTTTAATTTTCTATAGATTTGCTTTTTTACATAGTGCTAAATCATCTAAGGAACTGACTTAATAACCATTTTTAATTGCTCTGCCAAACTAATTTTCCGGTGTAGCTTCTGTTTAGAACTAACTGTGATAGTAGATGAATATGCATCTTTAGTTCCGGGGGCATCTAATCAGAACCAGAGTGATTGATGTTATACCCTTGGCTCAATGATGCAATCATAAGCCTTTTCACCTAGTTTGCCAACTTGAATTCTTCTTTCAAATCCTAATAATATGGAGTGTTTCTTAAGAGCACAAAGATACACTAAATAACCCAACTTCACCTCATCAATATCACAGTTATTTCTACCATTAGTCTCACCAATATTAAAACACTAATTCAAAAGAGTCAGTTTACAGCATTATGAAATGATAACACCCTAATTTTAGTCATTAACACCCCATTACATACTACTAATACCTTCCAGGATGCTGAGTGGTAACTCCTGGACCACGCTGTCTCCAATTGCGATGGTAGCTGGGTTCCTTTTTTCCCTGTGATGTCAGAATGAAACACGAGTATACTTGTCCTCACCATCCATTTTACTACTAAGGGATCATTTCGTCTCTCAATATAGTTTGTGTCAATAAAGATTATATCCTGTGGGATCTGGTTAGATACAATTTGATTCTACCATATTCTTATTTGCACATCAAGGTTGATATCACATTAATAGTCTAAACATCAGCACCTATTGAAACTCCCCTTGGCGGGAGCTTCATGCTTTTGGTCTATCCACACGTTATTGGTGAAGAAGAAGAAATCAAGTTGTTTAGAATATGATTTTATCAATTACTAATTTTTCAAAAACAGTTATTAAACTATTTTCATATTAGTAAAATTTGAGACAATTTAGACCTCCAAAAGTCACTTTGCACTTGTTTATAGAATTGGGCAACATTTGTGATGGATGCATTTTGTGGAAGGGAGGTCTTTAAGATAAAATTCAGGCTTGAGTCAATTGGTGTTGGTGTAGTGTAGATTAAATTTTCAGGTAGAACAATCCTCATGGAGTCTCTTTTACCAAAACTCAACTTGCACATGTAATTGCATTAGATTGGTTGAGCTGAGCCAATTTTGAGACTCGGTTTGGAATGTGTTGCTCAAAATGAAAATTGTTTATGTTATTCACATTGGTCCGCAGTCCCATGATCAAGTCCACTTAGTTTTCATTTTTTTTTTCTTGAAATTTGATTTGATTTCAAGAAATTGGCAAATTCCTAGATGGATGGGCATTTCATGATACTATATAAGGAAGCATCTTAGCTTTTAATAGAATTTGATTCATGTTTGCCATACTTTAAATGCAACAATAGAGAAGCTATGATGCACATACATAAAAAACAACATGATATGGACATGGGACATATCAATGATTAAAAATATAGGACACAAATACATGTTAGACACTATATTATAATTTTTATCTCTTAAAAACAGTGTATAAAAATTGAATGACCATATATAATATTAAAAATAATTTAGAAATAATAAATCATTTAACTAAGATTTGTGGTTAAAATGATTAATATTAGGATGTTGAGAGTCGGGTATTAATGTTCTGTGTCAAGCATCGAGAGGGGAATAGATTGCTATCGAAAGTCGGGCATTGATGTTGTGCAATAGACATCGAGTTTCAATGTTAAGGCAGCATTGATAGTTAATGTAGAAACGACGTTGGTCGTTGATGTTGAGATACATTGATTAAAGATGAGATGTCGAGATGGGGCGGGGCGTGATTGTGGGTGAATTGCTGGCATCAAGTGTCAATGTTAAGAAAACATCGATTTTGAGGTGGCTTTGAAATGTTTATCTTGTGACGATATCAGATGTTGATATTGAATTGACATCGGACATTGTTGGGAGATCTTAGACGCGATCCTACAGAGAGGAATGAAAATGGAAATATTTGGGGAATGAAGTATTGAGTGTGGGCGATTGATATGGAGCTATGTATATGACGATGATGACAACAACAACAAGCCTTTATAACACTATGCAGGGTCATCTACATTAATCTTTTTTCTCCATTATGCCCCATTAAAAGTTAAATCTCATTTAAATCTACAACAACAACAACAACAACATCAAGCCTTTATCCCACTGTATGGTCAGCTACATGAATCATTTTTCTCCATTGTGACTTGTTAAGAGTTAAATTCTCATTTAAATCTAATAAGAAAATGTCATTTCTAACATTTTCTATCTAAGTCTTTTTAGGTCTACCTCTATCTTTCTTAACATAAGTCAAATATGATACATCTACTTTCCTAACCGGGTCATTAGAAGGTTGTCATTTTATGTGACCAAATCATCTAAGGCGACAAATTCTCATTTAAATCTAAAAGGAAAAAAAAGTAATTTTTAATATTTTCTAAGCAAGAGTTTGAGGCTATGAAGAGAAAATAAGAAATTTAATTTTTATTTTTTAAATAAATAAAAATTGAAGTAAAAGAAATATATTAAAAAATCATAAAATATTTAAGACACGTGTCAAATTTGTCTTTAATATATATTTTTTTAATCCGACCTGTCATCGGCATATCTGACACATTTCAAAGGTGTGTCGGATGCCTGTTATGTCTGATACTTGTCGGGCACTTCATACCTTTTTGAGTAAAAGTATCTATGCATCATAGCAGAGAAGTACACGGTTACAATGAAACAAAAGTGCTATGATTATATTTTCATAAACTAGGACTTAACATAAGATAATCATATGGAAGTCATTCACAAAACAACTATCAACTCATTCGAATCCTTGACTTCAAATCCATTACTAGTGCCTTGGATAATATAAAGCTCTCACGTATTAGGGAGTTGGTAGAATATAGAATGTGAATTTACTATGTTTATGGCTTTGAAATCATTAGGTACAGAACAGCTCTAAAGAAATGCAATGCTCTTGTTATGCTTTACATGCTCCCCTTAAGGTTTAACTTCTTAATAATGTAAAATTGGGATCCAATGCTAGTAATCTCAAGACATTGTATTGTTGATTGTTTAACCTGTGTTGTGCTTCGTAATTTGATAGAACTATTTCTTTGGTTACTAAAATTGTCAAAATGTTTAAAATTAAGGAAGAAAAATATTATATGCTTTAATGTTCCTTCTCCTTATTTAATTACTAATTAATCTCCTTTTAAAAAATTAGCCTATTTAGAACACCTCAGTGTTTGGGCGAATTATTAGGTCTGGTCACCGGACCTAAATCTGCGTCCGGAATCTTGCACTTTTCATGCATTTTTACTGCGCTTTTGATGTATTTTTGCAAAAGGACAACTAATATGCGCTTTTATTAGCTGCCCTTTTACTGAGTATTTGAAAGCGCAGCAAAAGGGCACCAAATACACAATGAGTGAGATATTTGTTGCGCTTTTGCTTTATTTTTGCAAATATTCAACAAAAAAGCAGCTAATATGCGATTAAAATTGTGTATTAACTGTCATTTTACAAAAATACATCAAAAGCTCAGTAAAAGCGCATGGGTTCCGGACGCAGATTTAGGACGCAGATTTAAGTCCGGTGACCGGACCTAATAATTCGCCCAGTGTTTGTGTCTTTCTTTTTTTCAAATCTTCACCTTTCAAGTAAAATTGTTTTCAGGATTTTCATTTATTCAAACTGATGTTCCTTTCTAAAGTTATTCCTATATTAGGTTTATGATTGCAAAAGCCTTTCATACCTGTTTTTAGGATGAATTATTTTGATGCTTTTATGCTAGCTAATCGTCTAATTTGTTCTAATTTTGTGACATTTCCTTTATTAAGTTCATTGCATGTGAGTTGAGCAAATCATGAGTTTGGGGTGCCTTGCGTGCCGCAGCGTAGACAGCCCAACACATTCCTTAAGAAGCTACTCTGTCTCAAGTGCAGACAATGAAGGCCGCTGCACTGCAATGGTGAGCTGCCTGACCCGGACGACCAACAATCTGTTAGGGAATGCAAAGGTTGCCCCGCTCTCGAGCATCACAAATGCCCAGGGCATGGCAGGAGCCCCACGCCTCGTGCGGAGCTGTGCTGTGACAAGAGATCTTGTGAGGGATTGGAATTTCGATGAACTTCTTCTGGAGAGCTGATTTGCTCCGTCTTGAACCAGAAGGCTCAGTACAACATTAGATCCCCAGCATCTCAGCCATTTGTATATGACGATTTCTACTTTCCTCAGTGTTTGTGGCCATGATGAGAGTATTTAAGAGGGCCTAGTGTTTAAAAGTAGATTTGATTAGAAACTGTTTGGAAAACACCAAACACTCTGATTTCAAGTCATTGTAATGATGTTTGGCACCTATTTCTTGTTGGTGCATTTTGTTGTCTACGTCTTTTGTTACCAATCACCCTATTTCTCCTAAAAATGCCCTATCATTTAATAAGTATCAATATAACCAAAAAAAAATTGTATTGTACATGAAATAGCTGGGCCAAAACAACACAGCTTTCCTATTTGAAAAGTAAAGAATGAAATAATTTGATGAAATTTTCAGCAGGAAATAATGGCAGAGGCGTACACGGTTTCTTCAATCTAACAGGTCCATGAGGCAGACCTCCTCAAGACTGGCTTCATTGCCTTGTCTTCTTCAAGGGCGACCATCCCCACATGAGAGGGATCCTCCAGCATCATCTTCGAAACCAAATAGCCTGCAATGGACCAAGTCTGAAACTTTCTAGCTTGCTTGCCTACGTAGCGTCCTAACTTTCCATCGTAGTACTCTGGCCAGCCATCCTTTAATAGTCGGACCTCTGCAAGATCAAGTGCTTTTCTTGCAATCTGTGGCCGCCCTGTCTTAATGCATGCTGCAGTCAACATCCATAGAAGCACTGCACAACAATTTTAAAGATAAAAAGTTATATATAATGAGTTAGTGCAAAGGCATTATTGTTAGGGTATAGAGAAATTTATAATATCGGAGATTCAATTTCCCAAAATGTAGAATCATGAAAATGGGAATCAATTGTTTTCTAACCTGGCCATGATCCGCCATTGTGGTAACTCCATCTGGTATTTTTTGGATCGCAACCTGTCACAATTCGCCACTCATGTGCTTCAATGGCAGGATAAATAATCTTCAAGGGCATCTCACCAACCAACTCCTCCCAACGTTCTTCTATAAGATCCATAATAGCAGTAGATTGCTCAGGAGTAGCAAGGCAAGATAAGATGGCGAAGAAATTACCGAGGGCAAACCACCTGAAGTCCATTCTTGCTGGACTCACATTTCCAATAAAGTAACCACCACGAGTTGGCATGAAATCAAACAACCAATCTGGGATAGAATCAGGAATGACATTGAACTTGTTAACTGCTGTGTGAGAATACTCTTCTGTTTTGTAACGGTAGATGATGTTAAGTTGTTGAAAGTCAAGCCAGAAGTAAGTCCGCATGTGATAACTTAGAGCATGTAAACGTTTCACTATTCGTTCTATAAACTCTTTTCCCTCTGTATCATGTTTCAGCATTGAAAAAGCACATCTCAGTGCCATAAAGAAAATAGATTGGATTTCAATGGGGTAACCATAAATACCCTGCAAATAGGAATTGAAAAATATGGGCACATAAAAATTTGATTAGAGTTAATTCAATAAATGAAGAACTATTAGCAAGAATTTTATACTATTTATTGCAAGGATTATGAATATATTGTTAGGAATTCTCATCATAAAAAATGTAATGACAAAGCAGTACCAATGTAATACCAAAGCAGCATCTTTTTCTGATAGTTATAATGACACCATTTAGTTACATGTCAGCATGGATGCATTCCGACAAATAATTATCTAAGAGAGCTGGGTATTAAAGTGAACTCAGGTGGTGAAAATACTGCAACGTAGAAGCATTGGCTCAATAATTTGTAGGAATGCTCATTAAAAGGCATCTCTAATCTCTTCATAATTATCTAGATTTGCTTCCTTAAGGCACTATGGTTTGAAGGAATTGAAAGAGGTGAAATGAAAATAAATGTTAATGCAGATGATATAGGAATTTAATTGAAACACTTGTTTGATTGAGTAGAAAAGTAAATTCCCTTTCTTTTTTGATTTGAAGGAAAAATCCAATAAATTGAAGAGTAAACATAACCTTAATGTTATGCGTACTTGACTTGTTGGATATGGGCTCCGAAAATTCGTGCCCCGGCCTCTTCTATTTCAGGGGATTTTTAATGGATTACGTTCTGGGGTAAAATTTTCAGAAGATAGATTGGGTTTGAAATAAGACACTGCCTAGAGATTTCGCCCTCATTTTGCGAGGACTTTATGATTTGAGTTATGATTTGATATTTAAAATTAGAAATTTCACCATCTTGCACTTAAAGTGGATGGTGGGGGAAAGGATGATGGACCCGATCAAGATCCAATGGTCCCGTTGTGCCAAGCCATCGTGATCCCTGGTTTACTTAGTCAGAGGAGGTAGTCGACCTAACCTGACAGAAGGATTCTTGTCGGCAGTCATGGGTTGCGTCGTCCAAGAGCACCTTGTAGACCTGGGGTTGATGTTGTCCACCTTAGCTAACAAAGGTCTTTGTGCCCTATTCATTATATCTTATTAATTCATATCTCAAGAATTTTATGCTATTGGGGAGCATATGGGCTCTAGCCATGATCGTAATTTAGTGGAACCATTTGGTAGCAAACCACCCAATTCAAAAGACCCCGATCATAACCGTTTAACTGCAGTGCAATTTGGTGGCAAAATCGCCGGTTAAAGGACACATGTCATGTCCTTGCTATTAAGAGACTGTTTGAGAATGAATCCTAGTGATATTCTCGACCATATATTAGCTCTTTATGAGCTGAAGTTATATTTGAATTTGTCCACCTCAATAAACTGTTGCGGAGAATGGATGAGTTTTGCTTTAAGCATTTAATGGTTTAATTTTTTATTTTAAATATTTGGAATTTTGGAATCTTTAGAATTTTGTATTGTGGGCATTTGGGTGGCATTCTGAATATTTGGGGACCCTTCCAATTGATATCTATGTTCAACATGGTCATCATCGGGTTATTTATGGGATATTTCATTCATGGATTGAACCCTGTCGATTTGTTGACAAAGAATCTGGTTAGTTGTCGGCTTTATGCCCTTGTTAGTGAAATTTCATTGTTTATATGCTTTGAAGGCCTAATATGAATGTATAAAAATCAAATATCCCAGTTGATGTCGCAATCGTATATTTGTTCATTGGTTCAAGTTGTATCGACTCCTGTCCTATCAAGGGGAAGGATTGGACTTGAACTTAAGTTCATTTCTTGACCCGCTCAATATCCTTAAATGCCGTGTGTGTAAATACAACACACTCGTTGGAGCCTATAAGGGTATTTGGGGGGCATTTTTGTAATTGTCCATTGAACCTTTTTGACTTTATCTAGATGCTAATAGAAGATCGGGTTTGTTGCCGGCTTTTGTGCTTTTACTAGTGGATTTTCTTTTTATATACCTTGAAGGTCTAATATGAATGTATAAAACATGTCCCGATCGACATTGCGACCTTATATTTGTTCATTCTTTCAAGTTGTGTTGACTCTCGTCCTATCAAGGGGAAGAATTGGATTTGGACTTAAGTTTATTTTTTGACCTATACAGCATCCACAGAAGTTGCGTGTAAATACAACACGCTCGTCGGGGACAAAGCGGGTATTTGAGGGGCATTTTTGTAATTGTCTATTGAACCTTTGACTCTATCTAGATGCTGACAGAAGATCAGGTTCGTTGCCGGCTTTTGTGCTTTTCTTAGCAGACTTTTTTAATAGACTTTGAAGGCCAAATATGAACGTATAAAATAAATGTCTCGGTTGATATCGCGATTGTATATTTATTCATTTTTTCAAGTCATGTCGACTCATGTCCTAGCAAGGAGAAGGGTCAGACTTGAACTTAAGTTCATTTCTTAACCTGTGCAACATCCTTAGACGTCACATGTGTAAATATAACACGTTAGTCGATGCCTATGCGGGTATATGATTACACGTGCAGTTTTGTATTTAGGTGTATACATATTATAGTTGAGATGTGAGGATATTTTGAAATATTTTAGCTGATCAGCAACTGTCGTTCGAGTGCGAAGCATTCCATTATAGATCTTATACACATCTTCTGTCTGCTTGTATGAGTGTTGCGGATCCGATGGCCTGGCGTAGCACTGTGGTCATCTGCCCATTTCGTAAAAGTAAACTATTATGCACTACTTATTTTTTTTCTGCAGGTAGCTTGTTGTGCACTAACAAATCTCTTACTATTGTTGATATCTTCTATAGTTCTTTTGTATTTACTCGTATGTAGCACATAGTGTATACAACAATTCTTCTACAAGGGCTCGTAGGTATTTGAAGTTATTATAGTCCTGCATTTGTTGTGATTTCCTTATGCTTTCTAATGTTACTTGTGGGTGAGCTGCATCGAATGTATATTTTTTCGTGTCATTTACTAATGTTTGAATTTACTACGGCTCTTTTGCATTTTGCTTATAGGTAGCATCTTGGGTATATGCATTCACAAGGCTCATCATACCCTCATCGATATCTGAAAGCTGTCTTTCATATTCATCGTATGTCGATTGTCACTTCTTATAGGGTACGATGTACTTCTTTGCAAATTAGTTGGTGTTAGTTGTGGGGATGTTGTACATTCATTGTGTATCTCCATACTTTGTTTGCAAGCATATTCCTGCATGTCTCCTACTACTACTTGTCAATGAGTATCATTCATATTTGTGATTTGTAATGGGTTACTTTGTGCACTTGCTTGTAGGGGATTGATGTATTCACCCGACAATGAATGGTTGTTGATTATCACTGTTGCGCATACAACAGATCTTCCATTATTGCTAGCATATGTCAGCTTTTATTGTATGCAACATTATGTATATTTGCAAGAGAATCTATTATGTTGGTTACAAACAAATTGACATGTTCATTTGTGTGTAACTGTCATCTTGTGGGCTCCAAAAATTCGCCCGGCCTCCCCTGTTGCTTTTTTCGGGGGAGCTTTTATGCATTAAGTTACGGGGTAAATTTTGGGAAGACAGATGGGTTTGTAGATAAGACACTACCCAGAGATTTCGCCCTAATTTTGCGAGGACTTTATCATCTAAGTTTTGGTTTCCTATAGGCGCAAGCCCCTATAGTTAATTACCTTTCTTGGTAACGAGAAAGAACTTTCGATTAAGGCTAGTCGTCAATTAGATACATAGAAATACGTTTTATTTAACATATAGTAGCAGTATGGGTTTGGGAATTTGGAAATTTAAAGATTTTATAATTAAAATTGAAAATTTCATCATCTTGCACTTCAAGTGGATGGTGGTGGGAGTGATGATGGACCCGATCAAGATCCCATGGTTCCGTCATCCCGGACCATCGTGGTCCCTGGTCTACTTAGTCAGAGGAGGTAGTCGACCCAACCTGATAGAAGAATCCTTGTCAGCAGCCATGGGTTGCTTCGTCCAAGGGGATCTTGTAGACATAGGGTGAATGTCTGTCTAAGGGGACAAATTTGAATCTGCCTTAGCTAACATAAGGCTTTGTGCCCTATCGATTATATCCTATTGATTCATATCTCAAGGATTTAATGCCACTAAGGAATGTATTAGCTCTGGTCATAACCATAATTTAGTAGTGCCATTTAGTGGCCCAAATAAATATTTAAAATGACCCCTTTCTTACAGAGGATTTTATGGGATACTTGAAATGATTCCTTGTATTACAAGAGAATTTTAAGGAAATATGTACATACATTAACAAACATGTATACAATACTTTAACAATTACATAATACATTAAGCACATGATTTCTCAAGTAATCTTTATGCATAATACTTCTTCAAGTATAGACTGTTAATCCGCGACATGGGCCTATAACCGTTCAAGATTGATAAGCTGATGCGCTCCTCCCTAATACACCTTCTCAATAACGAAAGGGCCCTCCTAGTTAGATACAAATTTGCCACTAATTTTTCGATGCGGTATGATTGACCTTCTCTGCACCAAGACCAACTTCCTTTCTTGAAAGGCACGATGGCGCACTATTCGGTCAAAGGACTTTGACATCCTTGCTCATTAAATTTCAGGTTCTGAATTTGGACGTTCTGAACACAATGGCGCAATCCATTTTATCATCGGACGTCGTTTGGGTGACATCTCAAATTAATTTCTTTAATTTGCACGTCCGAATTTACAAGCTTCTGTCTTTATCACTTCCGATCCAACAGAGAACACAAAAGGCTGCGACTTCTGATCCGTCAGAAAGAAAGCTCGTCAAAGGATGCGTCAAGATCAGCTGCTTGGATGGATTCAGCTATGCTGATCAACACAGGTCCGATCGACATAGTGATTGGGCCAATTATATATCTGTAGAAGGTGGAAGGAAGTAGGACCATATGGCAGAGTGATCTTCGATTCTGGAGGTATTGGATTGAAGGTTTGGGAGGTTGCGCTGCTCAATACAGGTGATAGACCTGAGCTAGACTAGGTAAGTAGTGGAGACTTCAAATAGGATTTCCAAACAATGACTTGCGGTTGCTTGCGCCTGA